ATTTGGGGCTGCAATCGTGGACTCGGCACAGGAAGTCGATGCTCCTAGAGGCAGCTACAGCGGTGTGCGTGGACGAGGGTCCTTCGCACAGGCGGATCGGACGCCGGATCCCACTGGTGCTTTCGAATCCCCTGTCAAAACCTCCATCAATGCAGAAGACGGAGTGATTGATGTTGATGTGCCTTTCCCGGAGTATATTACGTCTTTTGAGTCGGCGATTAGCTCGCCCTCCAGCAGCGGATACTTGTCTACTCCCGGGCTGCCAAGTGGACTGGAAGCTTTTGAACAAACCCGCTTTGCCATCGAAGGCGATTTGCCTTTGAATGCTGCAGGGTGGCTCAATCGCTTTCACCCAGACTTTGCGTTGCAAGCCCTGCCTCCGCAGGATAATCTCCTTGACAAAGTCAAGGCTGCTCTGCGAGCGGAGCCGACCCCGGCACCCACCACCCAAAGCAATGATCTGTCTCAACGCTGGGTTGACGTAAGTAGCGTCGTAATTGCAGATACCATAAACAACTCCGTCCTCCGTATTGTTTATCGTCGATTGGTCAAACCAAGAGCACAACAAGACCGGCCCAGCGGAAACCTTGGTTCTGGTGGATATACGATGCTTACACCATCGATCCTGCCTTATGAGACTCAGCTAGAAGAGGAGTGGATCGAGGAGCCAATCACCACCTGCGATGAAGCTCTGCGAGATGCAGTTGAAAGGGTGATTCACTTCAACGGCGACGCCAGCAAAGGGAGCTCAACAGCATCATCGTCACAAACCCCCAGCGACTTTCAAGGAAGCATGGAGAGTGACAGAACCATGCCCGACACTTTGTCGGAAGCCACTCAGCTGGCTAATCCTCCACTCGAAGCTCCCAGAGTCCAGTGCAAGACGGTGATTTTGTCTGCCCTCGAGTATATGTTTCGCGAAGCAGTCGACAGCCGAGACACGGGCCATACTGGCCGTGCGAATAATCGACTCAACCGCCCTCGCCAAAGCATCTTGCATGATGCTGTGCGAGCCTGGGTGGCCAGCGTGGACGCTGTAGAATAACGTCATGACCCTCACCTGTCACAAAAACCCCCTCCAACTTCCACCCTCACTCAGCACACCGAATTCACCAAATTCCCTCGGGTAATAGAGACGGAAGCTTACTTGTGCCGTCAATTGTAATGGATTGTTTGTTTGTTTTTCCTGCTTTGGTTTGCAATCAGCGTACAAACCACGATACCCCAATGCGCATAAATGAGTCGCACAATTTTTTTTCTTCATTTTTTCGCCATTTCAGTCTAGGAACAGAGAGCTAGTAGTGGCTCTCGCTTTGCCATTGTCTGTTGCTTGCTTGCTTCATCTGTCACTACCTCTTTGTCAAGATGAATCTGAGTCTGAGACGGATTTGCTGCGCTGAGAAAGACTGGCTATTTTAAAAAATTCATTTT